ATTTGTTGGTGAGAAATGGTCGAAGTATGATCACTTTGTAATTTTTTCTCCTATTATTATTATTTAGAATTTGTTTATATTTTAATATTTTTTTTTTTTCCCCTAATCATGGTTATATTGCTTATCAAAAATACCAATTTTTTTTTATATAAAATAACATCTAGCAACTCAATTATTTGTATATATAAGAAACAAGTGAGCTTAATTCTTTTGTTTTTTGTTGTATTAATAGTAATTTGAATACTCCCTCCGTCCCACAACAATGGTGACGTTTGCTTTTTGCACGTAGATTTTTTAATATTAATATTATATTGGATTATAGTAAAAATAAATAAATAAATAAAAATACCCCTATTAGTATGGTATAATATAAAAGTAATGACATTTGTGTAATATATTGTAAATTGAAAGGGTATTTATTATGTGAAGTAGGTAGTACAATTACTAAATTAGAAAATGGTAACCTTGTTTTGGGACGGACGAAAATAAAAAATGGTAACCTTTCAATGGAACGGAAGAAATATAATATTTTATAATTCATATAATCACGATAATTATTTTCAGAAAAATAAAACTAAACTTCATTAAAGGCTAAATTGCACAAAATACACGTATCATAAAATTGTGCAAAATTTTTCATATTTTTAAAATTGCATAAAATTCCCTTGTTGTTTCGTAAACTTTGTGTTTAACTCCCTCAATCGTCTTTATTTAACGAGGTTTATGTTCACGTACCTAAAATGCGAATAAGTTTTAAAATATTCATTTCTAAATTTTTAAAATTACAAATATAATCTTTATTCTTATTATTTAACTTTAAAAAACAATAAATATACTAAAAATGGTTGTTTTTTCTCGGATTTTAAAAGTTCTTTTAATGTTATTTGAAGTTAAATATAAGATAAATGAATATATTTATAATTTTAGAAGTTTCGAAATTAGTATTTTGAAATCCATTCGCATTATAAATCTCTCATTGAAAAGGATCTACACAGTAGTTCCAATTTGTTGTTTATAGGGATTTAATCCATCACAAAATTTTGTTTTCCGTGTATTAGTCTTTTTTTTTTTTCGGATGACGTGAAAAATAAAGGTTCATGGCTCGTGACTGTAAAGTTATGGGTTTAAACTTTCGATATCTTCGGATCTTATATGGTTCGCCTAGTGTGAATTATTCTATTACATTTAGTTTATAAATTATTATATCCAACCGAAATTTATTCAGAGCGTACTAAAAAAATAGTAGTTATGAATTCTTACATCATAAAAAATATATATCAATCACACAAATATATTTCATACAAAAAATAAAAATCAACGATCGTCTACCAATACCGTTCAATGCTCGCCACCCAATTGTTGACATATTCTACATGATCATCGATGTGATGTATAGATTAATTTACCTACAAATTGCTGATAAATAGTCGGATCAAACGAAATAGCATTACTTTTAATCACTATGTTATCAAGTTTTAGATTGTGCTCTATGGCAGCAAGAGCTATTTTATACTCTAATACTTCATATTCTACTAGCAATTCGACGATATATTTTCTTTGACAAGACACAAAATTTTTTACTACACTCAATTGTCTTTATTCGTAGAAATTAGTGTACGACTCCAATGTCTTTAATCTTAAATTTATCATGCAGAAACTATTCGAAAAGAGAATAATATTTATATCACATCCAATTATTTAAATGTCGTCAACATTCACCAAGGCAACGATGATTAGGCCTTGCACAATTCTAACAAATCGTAAACCTAAACTCTAACATAGTCATCTTCAAAATTTCATTTCATTATCGAGGGATTTGTATTAACCCATAAAGAGATTTTTTAAAATACATTATTTCCATCTACAATTGACGACAACTAAAATTTTCACATAGCAAACAATAATTATTTTTGTTACAGAGCTACATTTTTTTAATAATTATCTATTCAGTTGCAAATTATAAATACTCTTTCAATCACACTTATTTACACAAATATGATTCAATTATAAATAAAGTCAAAAGATAAATTTGTCTTTTAACTTAAAATCTATCAACTATCGTTATCATACAATATTTTATAATTTTCGTGTAAAAAATAAATGCAACTCTTTCACTGAAAACGGACGGAGTATATTTTTGTAAATCTTTTCACCAATATTAATTTAATAAAAAATATTATTACAAATATATAATTCAGTTCTCCAAATATAATGGAGTAATTATTATATTATTAAGTCTATACAAACTTTCCATATCTTAAAAAACATTTAATAAGAAAGACAAATTAAAAATTTTATTGTTAGTGTATTTTTTTATTTTAATTGTATTATGTATTTTTAAAACATATATTATATACTTAAAAAAAATCGGCCCGCAAAAAATTCTTTCTTTCTTTCTTTGATCGATGATAATATTAATATACGCGTATTAATATAATATAACTAAATGTACGAACCGTAAACAAAAATAAATAAGTGAAAAAAATAATTAATTAGTTTAATGTTGTATTCATTGTTCTAAATATGAAATATTCCTCAAAAAAATTATATTTATATGGCACGCGCCCATTGTGACTCAATTCATATTTTCATGTGTATATGTTCTGATTTTACGGTTTTCTATAAAAATATATTATTTTTGTATAATATTATATTCAAATTATTATTTATAAAACACAAAACCAAATACATTCTAACTTTCCTAATCAATAATATTTTAATCTTATTATTAGTTTCAATGTATAAAATATTTTTAATAGATTAAATTGCATGATACATATTTGTGTCAATAGAAACTATGCATAAAATTATGTGAACAAAAGTATTATAAGCTATATAATTGAATTAATACAATAATGAATTGTACAACAAAAATTTATACATAAGCCTCTATTTACATCATATATTTTTTAAGTTTTGGCATTATTTAATAGCCGTATTTTTTAAAATATATCGTGGATTTTCATAACTCTGCTGCGTAAAAACGGGATATGCGTTTGAAATAGATGTCCGAGTTATGATATATATAATGAGCGATACGAAATTAGATCGAGATATATTAAATATTTATGTTCTCTCACCAAATATTACATCAAATACTTAATTTTTATTTTTTTTTCAATTTTTTAAAATATACAAGTTAAACCTTTATGTATGAAACTATGAATAGACCTCATTAGTATCTTATGCCTCTAAATTAAAATGTAAATGAAGAAATTAGTATTCGCATTTAGAAATTAATGTTATTCGAGTCGAATCCGAATATATATATATATATATATCTCATGTTCATATTCAACTCAAGCTTTTATCGAGTAAGCTCAAACTCAATAAAATTCATTGTCGAACAAGGTCGAGCTTTAATATACTCTCTCCGTCCCGAACATTCTGCAACATTTCTTTTTTTTTTTTGTCCCAAACTCACTGTAATATTTTCAAATTTAGAAATAATTAATAATATTTATATACATATATTAATATGTACTCCACTTTATCTCATCATATCACTTAAATAAAAATATAAATAATTATTTCTCTCTCCAATCACATCGCTTAATATCCAAATTATCTTAAATTACCGTACTTAATACTACTCACCTAAATTCTCGTGTCAAACACAAATGTTACACGGTGTTTGAAACGGGGGAGTACTATATATAATTAAAAGATAAATTTATTTTCTTATTAGGTATTACCAAACTGAATCTACACAAATATAATCGATAAGTCATTAATTAAATTCACGAAAAAGCTATAGGAAATATACAATATATACATATATATATATATTTATATATAAAGTTTGATGGATAGATCTAGAAACCGACAAGCATGCATGTGATTTTGTGGTTGATGTTTTTCATTCATTGCTTTAATTTTACTAACTCAACTATATGTATTTATACTCCCCGTCTCATAACAAAGTATTAATTTTTTTATTTTAGTCTGTCCCATAACAAAGTATTTATTTCCTTTTTTTAGTAAATGTATTATCTATCTAACATTACAAATACCCTTACAACTTACAATATATTACACAAATGTCATTACCTTTATGTCATACGTAGTAATAAGTTATTTTAGTCATTTCTATTTTATTCGTACTTTATTCCTCAAGAGGTAAATATTGTTTAGAGATTTATGTAGATTTTCTATTATTTATCAAATATTTTTCTTCTAAAACCATCATATTAAATATTTATTTATTATTTTTTGTTATTTACAAATTAATGTTAATTTTAAAATGTTATATCATATCACATCATTATTTAAATTCAAAACTTTTATTTTTGAAAACCCAATCTTAAAATGTGATCTTAGGGTAAAGGCAAGATAAGCCATGCATAATTTCATCATTTTGTAGTTATATATTTAGGTTACGTAACATATAAATTGTAATAAATTTTTTTTTTTTTTATATTCGTCTTGTAAAATTTGTCACTCTCACGTTACGTCAAAATGACGTCAGCAATAACGGCCAATTATAATACTAAATTATAACTTAGAATGACACCTAGTAAAACCGACAATAAAATCACACTCACATATATATATATATATATATTTATTAAAAAAAAAAAAAACATTAAGGTGTGTTTGTTCGAAAGATTTTGCCAAAAATTTTCTCCTAAAAACATCATATCAAATACCTATTTTTCTTTTTCTATATTATTCTAAAAATTAATTTTATATTTAAAACATAGTATCGATCTTATTTATATCACATCATACAACTATTTCAATTCAAAATTTTTACTATTCAAATCACAACTCAAAATCCAAACTTCCAAACAAACACACTTCCAATCCCATTTCCAAAAATTTCTCATTTTCAATTAAAAACAACAAACAAAAAAAAGGAAGATACACTCACATTTCTTTCTCCCCTTTTTCCCATTAACAAAACATAAAAAAAAAAAAAATAAAAAAAAATCACAACATTTGTTTCTCCAACTTGCAAATCAACAAAAAAAAAAAAAAAAGCAGACAAAAAAAAAAAACTAGAAAATCCATTTGAACACCTTGAACCGGAGATCAACCGTACACTTCGCACCGGCGGTATTGGCGGCGGCCGGAATTACCTTTTTGCCCTTGGGGACGAATCCTCTAATTCCGTCGCACCTAACTCTGATCCCAATCTTCTTCATCTTCACCTTATCAATTTTCACTCCCACCGTCGTGTCGGCGACGATTTCAATAGGCAGCCCTTTCCGCGGCCGGTTCATACCGGATTTCAGCGACTTCACGGCGTCGGCGTCGAGGAGCTGCGAGGCCACTCCAACGGCGGCGTGGACGGCGGCGACGCCGTCGGGCGAATTGGTGAACCCGCCGGCGCCGCCGCTGGATATGTTGACGGAGTTCGAGAAGACGGTGACGGAAATTGGGTCGTAGACGAAGGTAATTTTTTTGTTAGGGTTTCGGGCGGCGAGGGTGACGTTGATCTTCGCCGTCAGGCGGGTGGAGTCGTCGGCGGCGGCGGTGGCGAGGCTGAAGGCGGCGATTTTCACGGCGGTGACGGAGAACACCGGACGGCGGGGGTGGTACAGCGCGTAGAAGGCGGCGCCGGCGATGGCGGCGAGGAGGAGGACGGCGATTAGAATGAGGATTGACCAGAAGCACGTGAGGCACGTGCAGCGCCGGCAGCTGAATTGGCGGCGCTTGTGGCGGCTCCGCCCTGCCGGCGCCGGGCGGTAGGGGTTGCGCGCCGGGTTGTATAGACTTTGAGTTTTGGCGGCGGAGGGGTTGGGAATTGGTGGCGGCGCCGCCTCCGGGGCCGCCGTGGGTGCGGCGGCGGGCTTGGTGGAGGGATGGACTCTGTCTGTCATGATTTTGGTAGAGAGAGAGAGTGAAAATTTGGGAGAGAGAGAGAGTGAAGCTTAAAGAATGGGGAAAGGGAGAAGTGAGGTTAAAGGAAGTTAGGTTCCAGAATTTGTGCAGTTACCTAATTAATATCTGCAGACAATGACAGTTTGACACGTGTGCATATGTATCATTAATATTATTCTTAATTGTGTTTACATTAATTAATCCGAATAAGAGGGACAAAGCCTTCTTGTTTGAATCCAAATCTTAATGTGGATAATATTTTTAGTACGAAATGCTTAGGATACTATTCTTTTATTTTTTTTTATTATTTACACAAATTTTGTATAGCTCAGTATATATTTTGTAACTTGTTGTATTTTTTAATATAAAAAAAAAAAAAAAGTTAAATTGGACAAAGTTTACATATGATTTCACGAAATTGTTTCAAATCTTATATTTCTAAAACTGTGTTAAACTTCTTCGTGATTTTATAAATTCTGCCAATAACTCCTTCACCGGTCCTTATTTAATAGTATTTAACTTAAATGCGTTCAAACTGCGAATAAATTTTAATATTTTAAATTTTAAATCCCTAAAATTACAAATATATTCATTTTTCATATATTTAGCCTAAAAAATAGTAAATATACTAAAAAATAGTTATATTTCTCATATTTTAAAAGTTTCTTTTTACTGTTTCCTAGGCTAAATATAAAAATATATATATTTGTAATTTTAGGGGTTTAGAAATTGAAATTCTAAAATTTATTCGCATTTTGGGCGCATTTAGGTCAAATACCGTTAAATAATGATCGTTGAGAGGGTTAAACGCATAGTTTATGAAACCATAAGGAAATTTAACATAATTTTAAAAATATAGAGATTTTGCGCAATTTCGTGAAACCTAACGTAGATTTTATACAATTTAACCCAAAAAAAAAATTCTTCCAAAAATATTACACCAAGAACTTATATTTTATTTAATTTTAATTTTATTTGTTATTTAAAGCATCACTCGAACCAGCATTTAATTACATCATATGTAATACATAATTTAGTTTAAAATTGTTGTTATATAGATAGATATTGTTGTAAGAAACATTAAATGGTAAAAAATACAAAACAATACACCATTTTCTTAAATTTAAATTTTAATAAAATCTCTATATTATATAAAAATCAGCATATTAAATTAAAAGGTACATATTTCGAAATCAATACAAAGGTGAGAATTTTTTTCTTATTATACCAAAATCACCTCCCCTCACTTATTAATTATTTTCTAATTTTTTTAATTAAATAACTATTCAATATGATAAAACAAATAAATAAATAAAAATAAAACAAAAAAACAAAAGCATGCCTTCCTCATCATTTTTTTTTTAGACGTGGGAACCCGCAGCCGTTACCCGAAAGTGCGTACTGGGTTAACCACAGCCGAACTTAATACCCTGGAAACCAGGCTCGACGGAAAAATCAGACTAGGCGAACCATGTGTGGCAGGTGACCTGAGACGGAGTTTACCAAAATAACTTAAGATAAAAGTACACATAAAAAAGATAAATTTTTATTTTATTTATTTTTGTATAATGTGAAAATTTGAAGGGTAATTTAGGTAAATTTTTACATCTTCAAGTCTCATGTATTATGTTATATTTTATATTTTCGTTCGTCTCACATGTTATGTCATTTTTATTTTTGAAAATGTATTTTATCTTTTAATCATATTTTTAATTTTTTATTAGACTAATTAATTATTTGAATTTTAATCTATAATTATTTGTATTAAAATTTATTTAATTTTACTAATACATTTTAATTTATTTAATAATCATATATCTCCAAAATTCTCGTTTCTATGGTAACTCTGACATTATATCTGAAAAGGAGGAAATAATAATCTGCAAATTAAATCGACAAAAAAAACCATACTAAACGAAATACATGTGACAAACAAATGTTTTATCATATATCATCATCGTCGTCGTTGTTTTTTGTGCTGCTTTAGATTACTTTTATTGATAAATAATAATAATTCTTAAGCCACATTAATGTCTTTATGTTTTTTTATTTGTTATCTAAAAATATTTTTGTTTTTTTAAGTAAAGAATTATATTTTTTTTTTTGGATTATAAACATATTTCCTCTGCCATCTAATTGTATGTCTAGATATTTGATAATAAATTTTAATAAACGTGAATAATTATTATTATTTTTTATTTTTTGTACTCACTTTATCCCACTTATTGTATCTATTTTTTTTATTTTTGTTTGTCTAACTTAGTTTGTCACTTTTCTGTTTTTAAGAAATATTATATACTCTAATCTTATTTTAATTTTTTTAATTTATTTTTTTTAATTTTAATTATACTAATTAATTATCTTAATTTTAATTTAAAATTATTTTTATTAAATGATAATTATTTTAACTAATACGTTCTTAATTATTTACTAATTATATTATTTTTAAATTATTGTGTCTACGATAAATGAGACACATATCTGAGACAGAGTGAGTAATAAAAAAGTAAAAAAAAAATGTGATGTATTTTTTTGCTAAAAATATAAATAAAAATATATTTATGACAACAAAAAAAAATTGAACATAGATTTTGAGGACGGAAGAATACTATTTTAAATTAAAAATATTTAATATTATTTATTATAAAAAAATTAAGCTTTGTTCTTCCTATTTATTTTTCTTATATTTTTTAAAAAATATTAGGTTAAATTGCACAAAATCCACCCGTAGTTTCATAAAATTGCACCAAATCTCCATACTTTTAAAACTGCGTCAAACTTTCTCGTGATTTCATAAACTTTACGTCTAACCCCCTCAGTGGTCCTTATTTAACGGTATTTGACCTAAATGCGCTCAAACTGCGAATAAATTTTAGAATCTCAATTTATAAACCCCTAAAATTACAAATATATTTATTTTTTTATATTTACCCTAAAAAAAATAGTAAATATACTCAAAAATAGTTATTTTTATCAAGTTTTAAGAGTTTATTTTTACTATTTTTTTAGGCTAAATATATAAAAAATAAATATATTTGTAATTTTAGGAGTTTAGGAATTGAGATTCTAAAATTTATTCGCAGTTTGAGCGCATTTAGGTCAAATACCGTTAAATAAAGACCGCTGAGGGGGTTAGACGCAAAGTTTATGAAACAACGAGGGAGTTTGACGCAGTCTTAGAAGCATGGGAGATTTGGTGCAATTTCATGAAACCACGGGTAAATTTTGTGTAATTTAGCCAAAATATTAATATACTGTATACATTTACTATTTTTATATTATCTATCTGATTCCCTATCGCCCATATAAAAAAAAAAAAAAAAATTATTTTTCAACATTCTCGCATAAAATAGCATTACAAATTATGTGTATATATTCTAATACGATACAATACATGTGTTTTGTTTGTTTAATGGTTATAGGAAATGACGTTTTATGTGTTATATATGTTGATTTTTTTTATTTTTTTTGTATATTTATAATTATTGACTTTTATTTAGCAATATTTATTTAGAAATAATAGGAGTTATTTTTAGTTTGAAAGTACACAAACAACCATGTAATTATAAGCACTTGAAATAAATACTCATTTCGTTCCAATACAATAGTCTTGTTTATCATTTTTGTCCGTCCTAAAATAATAGTCTTATTTCCATAAATAATCATATCACCATAAAAAACTATCCCTACTTTTTTATTTATATTACACAATTGCCACTACTTTTTACACTAATACATTCGTAACGGTAAAAAAGTTTTTTATTCATGTTTTTTACCAATTAGATCTCGTACTCAATTCAATTAAGACTATGTTTATGGGTCGTGTGGATGGAGGAGAGTGGAGAAACAAGCAAAGAAATTATTCTTATCTTGCTTTGTTCGTCTCATTATGATTCCACCAAACTCTTCGTCTCTTTCTTACCATAATTTTATTTTCTTTATTTTTCATCAACCATACACACTATTTTGATTTGGTGTTAAAATAATATTAGACTCTCGTCCAGTAAATTTAGAATATTTGGGTATCTGATACGGAAATTTTAAAAATAAAAATAAATATTTTTATTGAAAAGTGATAAAAACAAAAAGATAATTTAAGATATTTTTGAAAAATAAGTTAATTTTTTTAAAAAAAAAATAGAAGAAATAAGGTAATAACCGTAGCTGTATTTGTTGTAAATAAGTATTGAATAAAGAATAATAGTTAAATATTAATTTAATAATTTTGCCAAAATTAGTAATTAATATAATAAATTTAACTGACAGACTAAAAATAAATAAAAATAAATTTGATAGATCAATTCTAGTTAGTATAAAATACGTATAAATCAACAAATCAATGTGCATATTAAGATAACATATATGAATTATAATTTATACAATACATACTACAATTGATATGATCATAAGATATATATTAGGGCACAAGTTATATATGGTAGAAACTTGTAGCATATAATAATAATTAGATGATACATGCTGATTTATTTGAAACTATTAATTGAAAAGTGATTAGGAATAATCAACCTATTTTATTTTATTTTTTTAAAAAATACTACTATTAATTATATATAACATATATGTTTTATATTATTTAGGGTAAACTGTTTTTTTAGTCTCGTAATTGGACCCCTTTATTATTTTAGTCTGGAGCCTATCGCAAATTAGTCTCATACGTGGAAAATTTTTGTTGTTTTAGTCCTCCGGCGCCGGAGATGTCCGCGTGGCTCAGAGGTGACGTGTCCCTCCATGTTAGCGACACCTAGCGGACACGTGGATTTATGTTTTTTTCATTTTTTTAATTTTTAATTTTTTTTTAAAAAAAAAATTGGACTAAATAAAAAATAAAAAAAGCAAATAAAATTAAAAATAAATTAAAAATAAATTTTAAAAAAATTTTAAAAAATGAAAAATAAATAAATAAATCTACGTGTCCGCCAGGTATCCGCCAGGTGTCGCTGACCTGGCGGACACGTCACCTCCGGTGAGCCACGCGGGC